ATGCCTCGAAGAAGGGTCCTGCAGGACCTGGGCGATCCACACCCAAACATGTTGCACATATGTCCATACGTAGGACCTCACACGCATGCACACACCACATACATAGAACATGATTCAACACCGACAGGTCAGGTAACTTCAAGGAATCCATGCGCGTAAGCTTGAAAGACTCCGGGGGCTCGGAGTGTGATTCAAAGCTCTTGTTCAGGTTCTTGATCGGAGTGGCCTCAGCAAGATAATTAAGAGTTTCGTAAAGGGTAGTTAATAGAATATAGAATATTATATAATATTGGAATCAACCAGAAAGTTGGAGCCTACAAAATGGTTAATGCAGACTGATGGCAGCCGGCTCGGATGGTGTCTGTTGGTCCTTGTGCGAGGCCTTACCAGGCAGGATTTCGGTCGCCTTATCATTCTCCTCCTTTGCCTCCTGCTCTTCTGCCTCCTGCTCCTCTGCATCCTGCTCCTCTGCATCCTGCTCTTCTGCATCCTGCTCTTCTGCCTCCTGCTCCTCTGCCTCCTGCTCCTGTGCTTCCTTTTCCCCGACCGGATGGTCCTCGACATTCTCATCCTGCTCTAGGGCTTCCTCCTCCTGCTCCTCGTCTAGCGTGGGGTCCTCTAGGACGGGCCCTGGGTGAGCCTCGCTGGCACACAGTTCGGGGGGACATGGGCCCAGCGTCTCTGTAAGGCCCAATTTGACACCTTCTGGGGTCTCATGTGGGTGGAGCTTCAACACTGCCTTAAGAACAGCATCGTAATTCTTCCAGCTCACCATGATGCCCAGGTCGCTGTCGTAGAACTCCTCAACTAGCTCCTCAGGTTCCTCTGTCTCGGCTTTCTTCTTCTTCTTGTCACTTGCGGCTTCAGGTTGCTTCTCCTTGTTTGCTTTGCCTGGTTTTGACTTCTTTCCTGTGTGCTTCTCACTTGGGGCAGTCTCGGGATCGTCTGCTCGGGTTTTCTTTCTTGGATTCGCATCGGCTGGGGCAGTCTCGGGCTCGGGATCGTCTGCTCGGGTTTTCTTTTTTGGCTTCGCATCGGTTGCAGGCTCCTCGGCAGCTGAGGCATTCTTCGTGCGGGCTGGGGCAGCCTTATCTACCGATGGCTTCGGCTTCTCCGAAGCAGTCTTGGGTTTCTTGGGTTCCTCATTCTCCTCGGCAGGGGCACTCTCTTCGGCGGGGGCAGTCTTACTTTTTTTCGATGGCTTCTCCTCCTTTGGGGGGGATCGTTCCTTCCTTGGCCTGCCTGGCTTTCTCTTTTCCTTAGCAGCTTGTTCCCCTGTATCGGCTGTCTTGCTCTGCTTCTGTACGGGCTCGGCTGTCTTGCTCTGCTTCTGTACGGGCTCTGCTTTCAAACTTCCGTTTGCCTGTAGCTTCTTCAACACTTCATCATACTGCGCCCGGGTCTCGTCCGACATTTTTTTGGATTTCGGCGGCATGATCGATGGACTGATCTGGAAAATCTCCTTTAAACAACTTGACCCTGAATTTCCAGCGGAATGCACAGACAACGTGTGGTTTCACATACATGGGCATCAGGAGTCTACATAAATCTCTAAAACGTGAATCACAGAATTCACGGCGCCTGGTGGTCAAGTAACGACTTTTCACGTGCAAGTAACGCTTTTTCACGCGTGATTCCGTGATTTCGATTTCACTAAATTCAGCACGGTTCGACATGAAATATGTGATTTCACACCATGTTACACTATCTCGACACGTGATGTGGAATTCACAGCCATATGTGAATTCACAGCCTGCTGCACACAACAAGCACTATGCGAAGCCTCATTTTGCGTTCCGGCATTCCCCAGATCCATGTAAGCCCGCCTTGCCGTTAAAGGCAGGGACCCGGATATCTTTCAGATATCATAATTTAAAGCTGATCAGAGCAAGCCCATCTTCTGAAGAGTAGGTTCCTGAGCTGCAGCGATCTTAATTATCTGAGTAATGATTAAGTACTTCAAAACCGAACAAGTCGTATGCCAGGTCTCCCATTGCCCTGGAGGCTGCACGTGCTTGGCGTTGAGGTAGCCGAGGACGGTAGGCATTTCGGCCTGAGCTTAGGGGTATCTTTGTGAATTCTTAGGTTTCGCGTGCTATCATATTAATCAGGCTAGCTGCATCATCCCAAATATCCCCCAGCAGCCATCCATTGTCTGCAGTGTAGTGCACCACAAAGAGTTCATGGTCGGTCATTGAGGGGTCCAAGGCAAGGGGTGTCCCCTTGGCGTGAAATGGTCCATCGAAGGGCTCCTGTGAAATCGTAGGTTGGGTTTCGCTGAAGTTGTTTAGTTACAATATCGCACCGTCCCCGTACAGCCGAAAGCTCTGCGAAGTATGGTGAAGCTCAAAATGTGAAGAGCACGATCGTAAGCACCCAAACGAACCCTACATAAGTCCATACCGCCCTGAAAACCCCATTAATTTAACTGGGCTGTCCCGTACATATATGAGGGCTTTAAGTTCTTATATGTTGGTGCTGAATGCCTTCTGCAGGCTTCTGCTACTCCGGGTGTTCGTATATAATCGAGAGGTTCGGATATATAATTTTCACTGTTAACGAAGGTTCTCGGATCCTCCCTGCTCATATGCGGTTTCTGCGAATGAAACTTTACAAATCATTGCGTCGTTCAAACTAACATATGTACTGGCATTTAAGTATATTTATATATATATATATATGTGTTTAAACAAACAATATAGAATCTATATATAGGTTTCGGAATATCAGGGTTGTTTATCACGGTTCTATAGTTTTGTGCAGGCTGGGCTGCAAGGCTCAGGTTATTATAGTAAGGCTCTGTTATAGCCTAAATAAGAAGTTATGCTTATTTAGTATTCCGAACTATTACATCAGCTCACCTCTAATTCAAACTAGTGTGACCGGGTTCGCCATGCCCCAGGCTTTGGATCAGGGCTCAAACACGTCGCCGGGGTCCCAAGATATCCTGCTGATGCCCGGGTTACAGAAGCTGATTGCTTTTCCAAGGTTAGGGGAAGGATGCAAGAGGATAAAGCTACGGCTAAATAAGTGAGTTCGTAAACCCATAAGAACCCCAAACCTCGGAAGCCCTTCGCGAAAACCCCAAGTCAATGCCCGCGTATATAGACCAACTCAGCTTCGAGGAAACCATATAGCAGCCCCCAAACATCCACAATAGTCCTCCCTGGAGTTTGCAATCGAGAGTCCCTGGTAATCAATATATGTTCAGGAAGCGTCGAACTCATCGAGGTCTATATATAGTATACCAAGATCTATTAAACAGTAACCTAGCTAGGAACCCATATATCCTAAGTGTCCCATATCTAATAAAGATCCCCTGGAACCACAACCCTGCATGACTAAAGCATATAAGCCCATTTTCAAGAAGGGAGTGTATATATATATATATATAATAATAATAATAATATTTTAATAATAATTTTATAATAATAATAATTTAAAGGGAAACCCGAAGATTCTTTATATATAGTAGTCCTATCATTCCGAAGGCTTAAAATCCGAAACAATGTGTCGATCTGTCAATCGCTTGCAACTGCTACCCCTTCGAACAATCCAGGTATATAGTAGCCCTCATATTTATAGAAACACATATATGGCAGCCATTCAAGGAACCCTTGCAACCCTTTAATGGCCCACATGCCCTTTCGGATTCCTGATGGGAATTCCCACTAGCCCTGCCTTAGTGTGGAGGTTTTGTTGGAGAGAACCCTAAGACTAGCTACCCACATGAAGGACACCGCCTGGTCTAAAGACTGACCGATCTAGAAATGTATATGCATGTATCTACATACTTGTACATAATAGTGTGTATACACACCCATACATATATACATATATATATGTATATATATATACATCGTATATATAGCAGCCCTTATATATATATATATATATGAACCCATATTATGGTCAAATCTAATGCTACAATTACCATTATAATAAATTTAATATGACGACGAAATACAATTAACTGTCTTCGATCACCCTGTGCTGCTATGCCGGGCAGGCCGACAGATCGCCAGTGATGTTGCCAGGTGCAAGCGACTCTGCGATTTGGCTGGTTTTGGAGGTGAAGGTTTAAGGCTTAGCGCTTCGGGCTTCATCGATTGGGCTTCGGTTAATTCTAGCAGCTTCTTATTACGTCCAGGGCACGATTTGAATGTGGGAATCCCAGGCACTTCTCTTTATACTATTCCTTGGATCAGAATTTATCTACGACTCTACAAGAACTATACATATGTGTACGTACACACACAGGTACAAATACATACTCTATACATATGTATGTATATACACACCATGTATTCAATTATACACATATGTATGTACAGAACCCGTAGCATTATCTATATAGTGGCAGAATATACTGCCCCAATCTCGATCAGACACTAGGATCAGGGTAGGGAGGCCTTGGGTTGCACAACGAGTTTTGGCTTTTGGGTGGTTGAAATTAGACTTAGGTACGGGCTAGGGTTGAGGTGAATATAAGGACCTAAGCAGGATTTGGAGTGCATGCTTGTTCGGGTTTTAGGCTGAACGGCATTCCGGGTTTGGGGCGTCAGGGTCTGACTTTTGCTTAACCAAACTACCCTATATATAGATAGGGCTCCAGTAACCTACATGTAAGGTTATGTGAACCCCAGTATAAACCTACTATTTAGATAAAACCGTATACCCTATAAACCCGTATGAGCTAAACCGCAAATTGAGAACAATGCAGAGAGCCTTGCAGCTAAGAGTTAGCATGCATGGCCGAGTTTTCGAACTTGCAATTAAGTACACAATATATGCCACCTAGTATACCACTTCGAAGCCGTGCGCCCTTATATCCATGCTGGGGAGTCATGACTAATTATAGATTATAGGGGAATAAGATATGTAGGGAATACCAGGAACTACCAGTATACGTTCAGACTTCTTTTCTTTTCCTATACATATATTTTAAAACCAGGGAAGATTAGCACTCGTTCTCACTCAGTTTACAGAAAGCCCAATCCCTAAACCCTGAAACCCTGAGCCCTTCCTGCATCACCTTCACGAAATAATTCGCCAGGAACTCGCCGAACTCCCGTGTATACTCCCTGGGCGAAGGCAGACGGAAATGTACTAATATATGATGATTGGTTATGCTGCGGCTTCCGAGGTATTGATTTATTTGCATCGAGTGGCTGGGATTGTTGGAGCTCTTTGGGCTTGCCAGTATGGCGCTTGACACCATTTGCATCCACGTGATGCACAGCGGTTTTGCGTTGAAACTGACTCATTTGCTGCTTCGACATAAAGCCCGCCTTCTCTACGATCACATCAATAAGGTTCTGGCAATTGGACCAAATTCGGTGCCTCTTGGGCGTCGGGCCATTGAAATGGCCCATGTAGAAGGCTCCATTCCATACCTGGGGAGGGGTGATATGTAGCAACCTACGACATATGTACTGTGAACGATCGTCTTTAACCATGGGAGGACTCGTAGTATTACATATATATTAACTACCCGGGTACCGGCCTCAAAGGTGCTGAATAGTTTTTGGAAGCGGGGCATCTCCGGAAGAAAACTGCCATCCGGTTGCTCAATGACCCAGCGGAGCCGCAACCATTGTGCTAGGTACACCAGTAATGCCGTACGGCTCGACAGCACATTTCCCTGGAGCACAAACTCGTGCACTTGGTTGCCCAAAGGCTTGAACACATTGCGACCCGTTACGGCCCGAGACCTCAATGCATTGCGATTGCGTCATGTATCTAAGGAAAGCACACTAATATTCGGAGTCAAGCAACATGCGACTGAAGCTTCGGCAGTCCAATGCAATCACAACCAATGCTCCGGGCTTGCAGCGCATCATCTCCAGTATTGCCAGACTTAGCTTACAAGCACGGAATAAACCCGACATCGATCATATATCCAAACGTGAATCTTCAATATCTGCAAGCAAATCTCCAGAACCCTGCCGGCGTGAGCAGGTCCATAGTGACCGGCTCGGTCAGGATATCCACGGAAGCTCCGCGAAGGCGCGCCTCGGAGGATGGGGCTTACGTTTATATATAAGGTTGGGGTTAACATCGGTAAACAAATATGTCTGTGTGTACATATTGTCGGGATACCCTTCGCAATGCCGAGGATAAGTTTCCTTGCCCGGCAAAGAGCTCCAGGAACTCTCGGTCCTAACGAGGAATGTGCAAATTTGGGGCTAGGGTTTTCATAGCTTCTCCGGTAAAAGGTGTAGTAGGGATCATACATGTACACATATCGGGGAGTCCTTCGTCTTCGGGATCTGGGCATTGAAGATCAACAGCAGAACTGCAAGCGTAAGGCATGCCGGGGCATCCACCATCAGAAGCTCAGCAACAACCATTGTCAACGACGGAACGTCACAGGCTTACCCTTAGCTAGATCCAGCACAAAAGTCTGCAGTCGAATGCGTGTAGGGCATGTATAGCACTCATAGCCGACCGCATCCGTGATCAATAGGGATTTTTCTCTCAGCATGCATGTCCCCGGCGGGGTCCGCATGAATTGCAAGCTAGGCATGCTATGGATAAACGCACGGCATGCAGCGCAGCTAAAAGCTCGGGCCTTTTTAAAAGGCACTAGCAGCCGCCCAAAGCGGCATTGCGAAGGAGCACGAACGGGTTTTCAGTGCATCCCTTGGGCACGAACCTACGTTTCTTAAGTTCGTTGAGCGGAAGGTCTGCCAGAATCGATGCTCGCTCTGCACTCTCCATCCACATTCTGAGGGCGACTTTCGGACGATGTCCCTCCGACTTCGCCTGGTTCCTAAAGGCCTTTCCACGATCGCAGAAATCTTTCGGCAAGTAGTCGCCATAGCAATGGTCTTCGGGATCGGCCTTGGCCTTTTCGGGCTTCGTCCTCTTAGTCTTAGGATTCGACTTAGCTTTACGCTTCGATCCCTTTTTAATCGCGAACTCCACCTTGAAGCGATATCCAGCTGACTTAGTCGGGGGGGTGTTCGACTCATCCTCACCATCGTTGAGCTCAGAGGCCTCAGAGGCCACAGCCTCTTCATCATCTTCATCGTCATCATCAGCCTCGTCGGCTAATGGCTTGATAGCCTTCGCATACTGCTGGGTGATGAGCGGAACTGGTGCAGGTGCCAGGGCCGAAGGCAAGCGATCCAAAACCTGGGGCCAGACCCGGAACAAGGATGCTGAGTCTTGCAATATAAGAAACTAGCATAATCTCAGAATCCTAAGACTAAGATTCTACAAAAACCTTGAATTGAAAGATGATCAAGCAACATAGCTCGGAATAACCTTGGGGCTAGGAGTCTTGGAATCGTGCCCCGATATTCTCGCGGGGCTGAACTTGTACCCTTTGCTCGATGCTGATCCGGATGACACTTCCGATGCCTTATCCTGATCCTTCTTGAACAATGCAATATCCGAAACCTGAGCACAAAGGCGGCTCATAAGGGAATCCCTGCTTGACAGGCTGGCGTGGGAGGAAACCGAAGACGTATTGGAGGACAAGGTCTGGTCCTCATCAGACTCGTCCGACTCTTCGTCGGAGCTGCCGTTCACGGCCGGCTTCTCTTTCTCAGTTGACCTTTCCTTAAGTAGGCACGTAGGGGTTGAGGTTTCTGGTTCCAACAGTTTGCTACGACCATCGAGTGAAACCTTAATGCCCATCGAGTCTCCAGGCCTTTGATTGCAAGTTTCTCGATTCTTGCTCGAAGAAGGTTCAGCTTCTTAAGCTTGCTGGAATCCGCACGTTTCAGAATGCGACGAGTCCTGCCGACCTCAGCATGCATGCATGCATGATCGAGAAGCAGCATATTAGAAACGACTGTATGAAATGGGCAGTTGAGTAGCCATGCGCTTGATTGCATCACCCATTCGCAGGCCCCAATCCTGAATACATTCCATAGCAGAAGTAATCCCACGTGGCCACAATTTCTTGTCGTCGTAGAACTTCAGGATCGCTTCGCGAATTACGTATGAGCTTGAACGCGAATCTCTCATCACAGAAATCGTGGCATATATGACCTTGAATATTCGAGCTTAAAGCCTTTGGGATTTTCGGGGGAGGGCCGAAGTTTAAGTGCATGCCATATAGCATCACTGTTCCTGCAGAGGTCCTTCAGGGTGCACTTCTTGCCTTTGAAGAGCTTGCCGGAGTGGTCGATAACGAAAGAAAACCCCACCTTGGATTTAATCCATTAGTTTAGAAATAGTAGTAGATAAGCCCATGCATTACATGAACTGTATATTTCTACCCGGGTAGCTTCGTGAAGCTGCGGCTGCTTCGCATAAGCAGCTGAGAGCTGCTGCACGATCGCGGGGTTGATTTTGGTCGGCATGGGATCGCGATCTAAGGCGATCTACGTGCACTGCTTGGGTAAAAATTTCTCGGGGATATGAAAGCTCAGGAGTTCAGTGGGCATGCGCAAATCCCCAACCCCGACCACTATACAGTCATTAATTGTGCAAAAGATTCAGGTGAACAGATCTCGCAATCTAACCGTATATACTTGTTTTATAATTTAAGTGCACGTGAAGGCTATATACATATTAGGTACGACCGAGTACATTCGGTATCTAGCTCAACATTTCTATCAAGTAGATGAGTAGCTTCGCTATACTTAAGACCATCTGTTTACAACGACAGCTGCACGGCGGGGGGGGGTCCGACCTCCGAACCATTGAGAATCATCTGGACGAAGAGCACGTAGTCGAGCCTGGCATTAATGCTTTAAACCCCAGATCAAAATATCTGATCACACTATATATATATATATATATATACCAATTAGTATTCGATCAACGTATCTCCCCGAAATCCTCGGAAACCAAGCCGGTCGCACCATGGCATCTTGAGGCCGGCAGTGCGCACCAGCTGGACGTACCTGGATGGAGGATCCCATGCAGCGGGGAAGGGGTTTAGTTAATTCAGATCTCGAAGCTTGGCGAGTTGATGTATTCGGTTGCAGGCTTATGTCATCAAAAGCTCCGATCAATAAGCCCGACTCGCACACTCGCCCTCCACTCATAAGCTATATTATTCATAATCCCCTGCGCTGGGGCACCTCGCCCAGATCGCAGGATCGTGACGACCATCGACATCACGGCACCGACATCTACATCCTCAAGCCCCTATATATATATATATATACGTGCATGTACATGGTACGTATAATATATACACGTACACATATACGTATGTATATATACATGTATATATATATATATATATGTATATATGTATATATATATATATATATATAGATAGATAGATGGCAGTACCCGTAAGTGCAAGTTAATTTTGCACACATATATTCATTCATACATACATACATATATATATATATATATATATATGCTACCCCCCCCCCCCCATTGACCTACCTTTGTTGGGGGTCTCAGGAGCAATGAGTGGCAATGATGCATGGACAAGGGAGGGCCTATTTTTGTCGCCATTATTTTGTTTGTTTTTTTTTCGCGTGTTTGTTATAGATAGTACTAGTACTGGTAATAGTAAAGAGTAATAGAGTAATACAATCATAGACTAATAGACGAATAGACGAACAGACTAATAGACAGAATAAACTAGTAGACTAATAGACTAATAGACTAATAGACTAATAGACGAATAGACGAATAGACGAGTAGACTAGTAGACTAATAGATTAATAGACTAATAGACGAATAGACTAAACAAACTAAACAAACTAAAAGACGAAAAGACTAATAGAGTAATAAAGTAACAAAGCAATAAAGCAATAGAGCAATAGCAATAGAGTAATAAAGAAAGAGCAATAGTACAAGAAACAGTGCGCGCGAAGCGCGTGACCCGCAGGCTTTGCTCCATGACTTTATGCATTGGTAATGGTAATAGTAATGGTAATAGTAATAGTGCTGCATAGTAATAGTAAAAGTAATAGTAAGAGTAATAGTAGAAGTAATCGTAATAGTACTAATAGACGAATAGACTAATCGACTAGTAGACTAATAGACTAATAGACTAATAGACTAAACAAACGAAACAGACTAAAAGACGAAAGGACTAATAGAGTAATAAGGTAACAAAGCAATAAAGCAATAGAGCAATAGAGCAATAGAGCAATAGCAATAGAGTAATAAAGAAAGAGTAATAGTACAAGAAACAGTGCGCGCGAAGCGCGTGACCCGCAGGCTTTGCTCCATGACTTTATGCATTGGTAATGGTAATAGTAATAGTAATGGTAATAGTAATAGTGCTGCATAGTAATAGTAAAGCAGTACCAGTAACAGTAGCAATAGCAGTATTAGTAGTACGAGTAGTAGTAGTAGTAGCAGCAGTAGTAGTAGTAGTAGTAGTAGTAGGAGTAGGGGTAGTAGCAGAGTAATAGAGTCATAGAGTCATAGAGGAAATAAAGTAGATAGAGTAATAGAGTAATAAATAGAGTTAGTGGAGTAGTAGAGTAATAGAGTATTAGAGTAATAGAGTAATAGAGTAATCGAGTAATCGAGTAATCGAGTAATAGAGTAATAGAGTAATAGAGTGAGAGTATAAGAGTAATAGGGTCATAGAGTAATAGAGTAATAGAGTATTTGAGTAATAGAGTAATAGAGTAATAGAGTAATAGAATAATAGAGTAATAGAGTAATAGAGTAACAGAGTAATAAACTAATAAAGTACTAGAGTAATAGAGTAATAGAGCTTTTGGAGTAAGAGAGTAATAGAGTCATAGGGTAATAGAGTAATAAAATCATAGAGTATAAGAGTATGAGAGTAACAGAGTAACAGGGCCCAGGGCCCCAAACAAAGAAAAAAAATGGCAGCAGAAGCAGAAAACTAATGTGGCCAGATATTCTCGGCCCCAAGTTCAAGACTCCAAAAGATTGAGGCCTCTCAGCACTTTGGAACTGTGAGAGCTGCAAAACCTGGAGCGGCCCCAATCTTTTTGAGATTCAAGACTCAAAAAGATTGAGGCCTCTCAGCACTTTGGGACTGTGGGAGCTCCAAAACACTGAGAGGCCTCAATCTTTTTATGATTTTGAAGCCAAAACGCTGGGAGGCCCCAAAAGACTCAAAAGACTCAATCTTTTGGAGGTCTTAGGAAACTAGCTTTAAAATCAATAAGATTGAGGCCTCTCAGTGTTTTGGAATCTGGAAGCTGCAAAACATTGAGAAGCCTCAAATTTTCTGAGGTTCGGGATTCCAAAAGATTGAGGCCTTTCAATATTTTGGAATTTGGAAGCTGCAAAACACTGAGAGGCTCCAATTTTTCTGAGGTTCGGGATTCCAAAAGATTGAGACCTCTCAATATTTTGGAATCTGGAAGCTGCAAAATACTGAGAGACCTCAATCTTTTTATGATTTTGAAGCCAAAACGCTGGGAGGCCCCAAAAGACTCAAAAAACTCAATCTTTTGGAGGTCTTAGGAAACTAGCCTTAAAATCAATAAGATTGAGGCCTCTCAGTGTTTTGGAATCTGGAAGGTGCAAACAATTGAGAGGCCTCAAATTTTCTGAGGTTCGGGATTCCAAAAAATTGAGGCCTCTCAATATTTTGGAATATGGAAGCTGCAAAACACTGAGAAGCCTCAATTTTTCTGAGGTTCGGGATTCCAAAAGATTGAGGCCTCTCAATAATTTGGAATCTGGAAGCTGCAAAACACTGAGAGGCTCAATTTTTCTGAGGTTCGGGATTCCAAAAGATTGAGGCCTCTCAGTAATTTGGAATCTGGAAGCTGCAAAACACTGAGAGGCCTCAATCTTTTCTGATTTTGGATATAGTTTCCCAAGACCTCCAAAAGATTGAGTCTTTTGAGTGGGGCCTCCCAGCGTTTTGGCTTCAAAATCATAAAAAGATTGAGGCCTCTCAGTGTTTTGGAATCTGGAAGCTGCAAAACACTGAGAGGCCTCAATTTTTCTGAGGTTCGGGATTCCAAAAGATTGAGGCCTCTCAATGTTTTGGAATCTGGAAGCTGCAAAACACTGAGAGGCTTCAATTTTTCTGAGGTTCGGGATTCCAAAAGATTGAGGCCTCTCAGTGTTTTGGAATCTGGAAGCTGCAAAACACTGAGAGGCCTCAATTTTTCTGATGTTGGTTATAGTTTCCCAAGACCTCCAAAAGATTGAGTCTTTTGAGTCTTTTGGGGCCTCCCAGCGTTTTGGCTTCAAAATCATAAAAAGATTGAGGCCTCTCAATGTTTTGGAATCTGGAAGCTGCAAAACACTGAGAGGCCTCAATTTTTCTGAGGTTCGGGATTCCAAAAGATTGAGGCCTCTCAGTGTTTTGCAGCGCCCAGAGTTCCAAGGTGCTGCGAGGCCTGAATTTTTTTGGTTTTAGATACAGTCTCCCTCGACCTCCGAAAGATTGAGTCTTTTAAGAAACTAGGTCTTTGGGAACGCCGCTCCATTCGGGTACACCCCGCCCCGACCCACCTGTGCCTTTCAAAAACACCAAAAAGGGTAGGTCAATGGGGGGGGGGTACCATATATATATATATATATATATATATATATATTTGTGCCAGTACACCCATATATCATGTATAAAGTGTATATATGTATATATATATATAGATATTCCTTCATAATATATGTATATACGGTACATACATACACACATACATACATCAATGCATGCATACGTGTAGCCTTAAATATACATTGAGATATATCTGGTAATTCCAGACTTCTTCCAGACATTATACATCGTATATATATATATATATATGTCCACATATGTATTTATACAGGTATGTACATATATCTATATATATATATGAGGACACTATGCAGGGTTTAAAGTTCAGGGGTTTAGGGTTTCAGAGGTTGGGGTTAGGTTTGGGGCTTTATAAATGTTCAGGGTCGAGGGCATGCAGCATACGTAATGCCGAGTTTTGCAAGATGCCTTTAGTATTATAACGCTTAAGTTGTTGCATTTCATCTGATATTACCCTACAGGTATTCTGAGGACAGAACTCATCAAATTAGCAGCGTTGAGCCACTGCATGGTGGGCACCGGCTGCAATCTTGCCAACACTTCCTGGAAGTTAATGGCTTAGGATTCCAGATTGCTGTTGCAAACTTTCGGAATCAATGCTTAGATAGGGAAAATATAGGGATTTAGGGTTTTTTGGTCAGGCTCAGCGCTTCAACGGTCTTTAAGTGTATTTGACACAGCGTGAATTTTCACAGTGTCTCGTTTTCACGTGAATTTGGGGCTTTTTTAAGGTCATATGACCTTTAGTAGCCATAGCTACTTTTCACGCTCATATGGCCTTGCGCCCTGCGGACACCTAAGGGGAGGTCAAAGGGATCCCCAGGTACGAGTCAGGCCGTCTTGAGAAGGACGTTGGGGAGCTTTTCCGCACGGATGCAGCTTGTAATGATACTTCCGTGGTCCTGGGCGGATGGTTTCTTCACAAAGGACCGGACCCAAAGAAGGCACCATGGTTTCAGATCATCTTGGGCAGGGATGAAGTTCCTTGGCTTTTCAAGAAGGATTCGGGCAGCTCGTGGGCGAGCACTTCCGCTGAGGTTCTCGCATCGTTGGCAGCGCTCCACTTGTTGAGACGCCATTTCAAGGATCTTTGGTCAGTCCCTGGACACTTCCGTGCTAGCTTCTGTGGCGGGACTGATAATAAATCTGCCGAGGCGCTGTCTTGCAAGCTGCTCACGACTCGAGTGCCACTCATGTTTGTGGTGATGGAGTTCGTCACCTTTTGTGACGCTCTGGGTTTCAGATGCAATCTCAGCTGGAGGCCCAGGGACTCCAATCAGGAGGCGGACCGCATCACCAAACATGTTTTCGAGGACTTCGATGAAAACTTGAGACTGCCCTTCAGCTGGTCAGATATGACCTTATCAGTTCTGCCGTCTCTCTTGAGATTCGCGAGCTTTCAGTCTGAACTTGATTCCATCAAGGCCTCGATTGCGGATGATGGAACAACCTCAGCTCCTCGAATAAGATTCGAGAAAAGTCAGTGGGGATGAGGGAAAGGAGATGCCCTCGTCTGCGAAAGGGGGCAAATCCCTCTCGTCATCTCCTGTATGCAGGAGGTTTCATTTGCACTGTGTGATGTCGGGCTGTGCGGACCAAAACGAAGTCTCCTTGTGCGTACTGCTGTCATTCCCTGTTCCTTAAACCCTTTCCTTGAGCCTCCTGGGTACAAGCCTAGTTTGGGTAGCGAAGCGGACCAAACAGTTTGTTCCAGGGAGGCCCGGGGGGGAGGGGGGGAACAATGGGGGCTTGAGACCACTCTCAGTTCTGTACGCCTCAGCCATCGTGCTTCGGTCCACGGCCTACATGCAGTTGCTCTCAGTCATGTCAGTTATGTCAGTCATGTCAGTTGCTTGCAGTTTTCAGTTTCCTTTTCACGCGATTCATTTCAGTTCTCCCTTCTGCGAAACATTTATGTGAGGATGATTTTGAAGAAGTTTTACCTTTTAACACTCCTCCTCAAAGGAGGTACTTTCCAAATCTTTGATTCATCATTTCAGTTGTTAGTGATTTTATGGTATTTGAATTGTGGGCTATTCGCCCCTTGTCAGTTCAACGATATATCTCGCGCCGATACATTTTGGATCAACCGGAAGGGGACTTTTAGTCCTTTTAGTGTCCCACCCGGCCCACCCTGTATATTACTTCTCATATGGTCTGTTCATAACAGCCCAATCTGGATGGGGGGGGGCAAATCCCTCTCGTCATCTCCTGTATGCAGGAGGTTTCATTTGCACTGTGTGATGTCGGGCTGTGCGGACCAAAACGAAGTCTCCTTGTGCGTACTGCTGTCATTCCCTGTTCCTTAGACCCTTTCCTTAAACCCTCCGGGTTTTAAGAAAGTTTTGAGCCTCCTGGGTACAACATCACCTGGCGCATACTTTAAGCCATGGACTGTGACATGCCTCTTGTTAATCTACTGCACGTGCTGGACCTGATGGAGTGAGCATCAACAGTCCGTTTCCTCTCTGAGTCTGAGGCTCAAGGACACCGTGCTGCCCGCCGGCTCCATCGACGCCTTCCTTAGCAACCAAATGGACACTGAGGCAAGGCAATTGTTGTAAACTCGTCATGGGTCATAGTTATCAGAATCATTCATTCAGTCTAATAAAGTCTAACTACTAATACTAAGTCACTACTGAGGACTTCGTCCCAACATGGCATTGTTGCTCACCCTCTGTCTGCTAGGAGAAAAAGCTTGACTTCGCCCGGTGGATGGGCAACTTCTGTCCTGCAGATGCTGAGCACCTTGACTGTTTCGACACAGTTGAAACACAAACGATTTTTTAGCACTGCCTGCACCTGCAGGAAGGCCTACAGCATTGACAGCAACGGCTGCTACTTGAGGCCCTTCCAGTTGGGATGGCGCTCAGATTTCGGAATTAGCGGAATGATGGAGCCTGAAACGGCCGAGCTCCTCCTGGAACTCATCTTGACAGAGGGGCTACTGGACCCAGTACTAGTGTTACTTTAATGTGTACTTATAATCTTCTTGATTTGGTCCGGGTTCTGATTTGACTTGCGATCTAAGGTTCCTGACTGACCCCAACGTTGTCGGTGTCGAGAAGTTGGGCGTCACGCTGCCTCCACCGGAGTACCTCGACGGCGGCATCACCGAATGCCCCGCCATCAACCTGGGCAGTAACTTGGGAGCATAGCGCGAGTCATATCTGTGTGCATTTGATGTTGTGATTCAGGTGCTTTGTTGCCACCCTTCAGTGTCGGGTACGTGAAAGGGTGGAAAAGAGCAGTGTGCTTGATCCTGGCACTCTGTGGAATCAGAGTGCTGGGATTGGAGGCAGAAGTGCCCCACCACATTCGTGCGCCTGGTCTTTACATCAACACATGCTGTAATTAAAATTTATCATAGTCAGATAGTGTAAACGTGAAGCCTTTAGATATTAAGTTTTAAAATAATAGAGTGAGATTTCAGATCATTTCCCGGCCTCAGGTGACAATGGGCACCATCCACTGCTCCTTCGGAGCCTTTCAAGATGTGAAAGCCAAGGTGTTGGCTTCGCGAGGTGGCCTGCATGCACCAAGTCAAGACAATTGGCGTCGACAGTCATAGACCGATAACTGGTTATTATTATTTGTTGTTAAAACTGACAGACTAGGAGTGACCCTCGCGTCTACCGCAACGCGGCGACCCCCAAACTGCTTCCACTTCCTGCGTCAAGTTGTCATCTTACAAAGAGCTGGAGCAGGAGGAGCCGAACAGCAGTTTTCGGAGACTCAGAACGAGATAGCAACTTGAAGACGTTTGGCTTTATGTTCGATTCCTAAGAAGTCTTGTTATTCTCAGTCTCAGGATTGGCACTCCCAGACTGCCATTGCGAAGGCCTTCCAAATAGGCCGGAGCGAAGCCGGAGCTGTGCAGCAGCTCATCACGGCCGTGCCGAAGGATGTGAAAAATGCATTGGAAACGGCAGTGAAGCAACGAGGTATGGTGAAGTTTCTGGGCCATGAAGCTGTGGCACGACAACTCTTCAGTGCCTCCTACATCAACACCTCGCCGGGCATGGATGCATGGCGGGACCAGCTGACAAACGCCCCGGGCGATTCCAGGATTGTGACTGAACGTGAACATCTGGTTTGCAAAATTTGGGGTTGAGGGATGGCTCTTGAACTTAATTAAGCTTTCTTAGTGGTCTACTATACTGCACCAGACACGTAGAATGAGATCATCGTGAGCATAATCCTTTCGTTTTCAGACCTTGGTCAGTGTAGTCCAGTCAGAATCATAATCATCATGCAATACTTGTCCGAATCATCATGACCATCATCATCCTCAGCTCACGCGCCCCCTCGATCATGGCTGGCTATGTCTATCTCTATCTCTATCTTTAGCTCTATCTTTATCTCTATTTCTATCTCTACCTCTACCTCTATAAGGCATCTTTGCTGGTGGAGCGCCTCGTCAGCGACTTCGACCTCGCGCCCGAGCCCCTGCGCAAGGTGCCTTGGAATCTTAGTGGTTGCAACTGCAAGTTTGGCCTTCAGAGTAAAATACGGAGAATCCAAGATTGGTTGCAGCAGTGTTAGACTTAGCTTCCTCAGGCACCGACCTGCAAGGAAACGGTGACAAAGCATGCTTGCTGTGCTGCCATGCTGCACTTCCTCGGCCTCTTGGAAGCCATGTGCCCCGGCAAAGAGTTTCCTGAACTCCGGCGGCAGCTCATGCATCAGTTCCATCACGGCTACTTGGACACGGACCTTGTCCACGTCCTTGAGAGCGCCGTGCCGCCAGCAGATCTGAAATCTGTTTCCGCCTTCAGGTGCACGGTTAATAAACAAGCAGCATAATGAACCATCTACCTCACAATTTTCCGCCCTCAGGGCGGTGGTGGTCCAGATCGAGACCCAGGCACAGGCGGAGATGGATGCGACGCAGGCAGAGCATGCGCGGCAAGTCCGCGAAGCCACCCTGGCCCAGATCACCGCCTTGGTCGAGTCTGACATCAAGGCATTGCGGCAGCGGACCCCAGACCATGTGCTCAAGGCCATCGCTGCGGCAAAGGATTTGAAGTACGTCAAGGACAGGCAAATGCAGCTTGACACGAATAACACTAGCCAGAAACCTTGTCACGTGGACTACGTTAGTTATGCTGTCAAGGCAAGGCGACAACTTTGTGCACACGTGGATGGCCGAGTACTGCCACTGCGAGATGCTGGACGAGACGCTCAGCTGCAAAGGCAACAATGTCCTGCCCAACGTGCTCAAATACCTGGGCCAGTTCCGTGGCATCGCGGGCACGCAGCCACTCGACGATTACTTATCCTGCAGCCTCGAGTCAGGCCTAAAGTAATCCAATTCGTGAATCCCAATTCATCATTACAATCATTGTTACAGACTCGGAGCCCGAGGTCTCAGAATGTAGGTAGAGCTCCTATTTTGGGTTTAAGTGTTACGTTTATTATTAAGAGATTAATAATTGACATAATATGACAGTAATTAATAATTGTCAGGTTGGGAATCTAAGTTATGAGTTATTTAGTTAGAGCTCCTATTTGGGGTTGTGTGTTCCTTCAGTGACTAGTTGACATGTGATGTAAGTAAACTAACTAAGAGTAACTTAGTGTCCTCGGGGTCTACGGTTTAAGGATCAAGTGTTCTGGGCCTTCGGAGTTGTTGTTTTCTATCAAGCGGCCTGGGATGACCGCTTCCAATTCAGGTACGTGTTGTGCCTTTGCGATTACACGGTGCTGCCAGCGAATGTAGATTACGTGAGGGACTCCGTGGAGCTGCTGGCAAACTTGCTTGCCAGCAGCTCCAACAACGTGGGCCTCTTGCAGCTTCCGCTGCCGCATCGCTCGATGGCTTCGTCAACGAGCGTCAAGCACAGGCGGACCGTGGAGGACTTGTTGCTGAAGGCAAAGATCAATGCAGACTCCGTGACAGCCCTGCTTTTCGAGAAGCCTGCCGACGCAAGTGCATCTGACAAGCGGTCCCTGACGCAAACCTGCTTGAACTGGAGCGCTTCGCGAGTCTTGCAAGAGTGCCGAATGGGACCCTTCCCGCTCCTGAAAGTCGCGGACTTCCTGGGCTACGAGACCTCGCGGCCTGGCCCTGCGGCGAGGATAGAGCAGCATCTGGGCAACAAACAGTGAGTCCGAAGGTCAGACTTCGGGCATTTACAAAGAGTTTGTTTCTTTTCTAATACTACTGAAAGGTTCTTTTAAACTTAGTGGGTGTGAACCATAAAAAAATATCGGTAAATATCTATAAGCATGGTGAAGATAAAGCTGCTATTATCATTAATCATTAGCAGGAGAACCATACTAAATAGGTTGTCAGGATTGGGGTCAAGTTTAACTCGTGTGTCACGGGGTCGGTCGCGTGGGCGTTTCGGTCACATCGAAAGATAAGGGTTTTTGTATTTGACTGATTCATTCCTGTGAGCCAGTGGTCTGTTATCCGAATCAGAACATGAGTGCGCCATCATACGAACAGGAAGGGAGTGCCGCTGCATGAGGGCATCCTCGATGCTTTCATGGATGGCATGGGCTTCTCCGAAACGGACAGGCTGGTGATCGTGGACCTCTGTCCCAACAGGTTGGACCTGAACTGATATGTTGATTCCTTTCTTTCAGTCAAACCATCATATAATACTTGAAATTCGAAGGGTTGCTCCTGCAGGCAAGCCGAGTTTGCCCGCGCGGCCGTGAACAAGATGATTGCGAGCGAAGGCAAGAGTTGCATGCGCTACGTCGGCCTCTTCCGCCCGGAGCATGCTGATGTGAAAGCGGAGCTCAGCGGCAAGATCTACTCCTGGTGGGATAACAGCAGCGCCGCCCCTGCAAAGAGACGCGCTGGAGATGATGTCGATTTGGAGGCGGCGACCGTGCAGCTGCAGATCCTTTCCTTGCAGGGCTCCAAGCCCATATGGCCGTCTTCGCTTGAGGACAAGTTTCCGGGCGGTACCCCGGAGCATGCAAAGCTCCTGGCATTGCGCCAGGAGTTTTTGAATGAGTTCCCGAAGCCGCGAGCTCTGAGCCAGATGGGCCGACAGGCCTCTTCGGTCAGCCAGCAGACCCAGCGCCTGGCTGCGGAGTGCGACTACTCGCAGGATGGAGAGCCGCTGGACGTTGAGCGGTGCGTGGACCTCGCAACGGTCCCCGTCGCAGAGCTGAAGGAGACCATGCTACCAGTCTGATGGCTCTTAAGGTTTGAATCATTGATTGAAAAATTTGTTCTGAGCATGCAAGGTCGCAATGCGTGTAATTATTAGCCCAAAGCCCAGAATCAGAAGCCTTTAACTTTTCATCCCGAATCCTAAACCCCTTTTACTAAACCCCCAAATGCTTAAACCCCGAAACCCTAACTTTGTAACAGGAACTTAGCCCTAAATTCGAAAAATTAGCGTACATGTTTAGATCTGTGTGTGTGTGTGTCCTGCTGCTCATGGCACCTGACTGAGGCTTTCCATGGTCACTGGGCGCCCCGGCAAGCCGAGCATCATGATCACGGCCGAGTACGCCTTGTGGATCGGCAACACCAGCGACTCCCCTCTGGATCTTTGCTGCTCTGAACTTTGTGGGTTTGGGATGGGCAGTTACTCGGACCGTCCTGTTCGCTCCTCGTCTGAAATAAGAATATCGAATCAAAGCAACAAGCACACCCCTTAGTTTTAAATGAAGTGTGAGATTCCAAAAGAAGACAATAAGAATCATGTATTTGGCACGACGAGTGGTACCACTACTAAGTGCTAAACAACCATTGCACGAGTGTTCCGGCATTGAAGCAGCTTTTAATGCGAGAGCCCGCTGATTCCAGGAAACGTGCTGGAGGAAAGCTCCGGGGTGCCATGGCGATTGGGCAGCGACAAGGAGCTCGTTGTCGTGAACAAGTCAGCATTGCCACTATGCGAATTGCTGCGGCTGAAGGCCGCCCACGATTTGACAGATTAAGAAGCATGCTAGCACTCGTAGCGCAGCGGGATTGTGCATTGGGTCCTGACATCACATGATGCCGGTGTAAGTTTTGAAGGGCAGACTTAAATGAATGTGATGATTCTCTGTGTCAGTCTAATGACGACAATGATGATTGATGGTGATGATGATGAAGTAGGACTGGGTGGCTTCGTGATGTGGAAGGTTATTAAAAGCCTGGTTTGCGTTACTAGGCCACGGAGGAGGGCCTCGTGAATGTGGAGCTGGAGTCCCACGTGGTGCTGCCCAAGCCTCCTGCTGCTTGCTTGCTATGCTTATTAATCTAGAGGTGAGATTCAACATGACCTGTCATCCAAGACTGCTGCTGCGCCAGAAGATGCCGCGACCCAGCTTGATGATGACGAAGCCCTGTTTGGGTTCAGATATGATGTGGCCCCGACCGTGAGCTGCAAGACGAGTGTCTTCAAGCCAGCAGCGTTGAGCAAAGAGGAGACAGAGAATGTCCGTGCTGTCTCCCTCGCCGCTCTCTGCAGTGGTAACTATGACCGCTTGCCCCGCAACAAGATTGCCACTGTGGCTTGGGAGGCCGTCGTGCTGCAACCGCTGCGGGCTTTTCATTATGTCTGTATAATTACTGTTGCAGCAGCAAACGATAAAAGGTTGTCGGGCATCCTCCGTGGAGTCAGTCGTGTCATTGAGCAGATTACTTTGGTTCAGCTGTCATTGTTTATGTTGCAGGTGACGGTGAGCGGGACACCGCCCAAGATCATGCCGATCAAGCCGAAGATCTACTTGACCTGCAGCGTGCGACTGCCTCCGCAAAGTTGGTGCAAGGTCAGCTCCTGATCCTGAGTTTTTCCGGACGCTGCAGCAGCATCATCATCATGGTACACTAGTAGTTGCAAGATTGGCGCATTCGAACATTTCAAGCCGACTTGGTGCTTCTAGTCTCCATCCGAATGCATGAATGACATGTGAATGATGGTGATGCTGATTCAGTTCGAGCCTCGAGCCCTCTTGATGAGTTGGCCGTGCACAAGCACAGTAGACGTGAGAGTGGACAAGCTGGGAGTAGCATAATAATAGTACCCCGAGGGTTTCAATTCATGTTTAATAGCTGTGCCTAGTTCTGCGCTCCACGTCGTGTGCGCTGTCACATCAAGCCTGAAGGCCGCTTTCAACTTTTAATTTTCTTTCGTTGTCAGTTGCACTGTGTGGGCTGCTTATGTTACTTTAATTTCTCAGTCCTTATAATAAAGTAAGCCCTATTATGATTCAGATGTGATTTCGGAGTCCGAATGTCTCTGCCCACTCCATGTGCAACATCGCATAGACATCGAGTCTGACGAGCTTGGCATCGTCTTGAACAACCAGTCAGCGGCTGCGTTTGATTCTCGCATTGAGTCTGAGTCCTGTCACTGAGAGGACAAGCTTGGAAGCCATGGCTTGTTTTGTCAAATTGAATTGTTCTTTCAGGTCAAGCCAGGCCCTGCTTGTCGTAGGAGTAGGGGCATGCCAGTTTTTAGCGCAGTGAATGAGCTGTCCGCAAGCTCCGATGAATGCGAGGCGGGTTCAAACTTCCTTGGGCTTGATTCTTATTGGATCGGCGGTTGTATTGTAACAAGGGTTGTTATGCCAAAGTTGTTGTTTATTATTGTTTCTTGCTATGCTAATTTCCAGGTGTCCTTATTCAATTCCGAACACCAACAGTCCACGTCAGGAGAAAGTTAAAGGAGAAGATAACGAAAGCTTAGCGGACCCTGAGGTTCCACTTCTGGACATGAGTTGCTATGAAGGGGAGGAGGAGGAAAAGGGCATCTTTTGGCCTGATGAGGGAGAGTCAGAGGAGGAGGAGGAAGAGGAACCAGCACCCAAAAAGAAACCCGCGATGAATGACAAGAACTTGAAACGTGATACCGGTGATGATGAGCCAAAGCCACCCCTGAAAAGACCGGCAACACATAAGAAGGAACAACACGAGGATGAAAATGCAGAGCTCCGCAACAAGAAGCAGCGACCTTCAGCCTTGAAGTCAAAGTCGAACATTGCACCTACCCCAGGTGTTTCAAAGGACGCTTCGGAGCAGGATGAAAAGTTAAAGGAGGAGGACAAGCCTACCCCAGGTGTTTCGAAGGACGCTTCGGAGCAGGATGAAAAGTTAAAGGAGGAGGACAAGCAGGAGCATCCAGCATCCGAGCAGCAACCACCCTCAGCCTCACCCGTGAAAGCGAGGCTCAAAATCGCCCCAACCCAAGCTGTTAGGAAACAAGCTTCGAAGAAGGATGAACAGGAGGAGGAAGCCAAGCAGCCGCGACGTCCAGCCATAAAGCCGACACGAGCCCCTAGCAAGACTGTTTCCACGGAAGGTTCCGTGCAGGATGATGACGTAAGGGAGGGAGCAGGGAAGAAAGCAAGGACAGATCCGGGACCGAAGCCGGATGTGGAGGAGCGGAGTCGTGTGTGTTCGTTGCATGACAATGAGCGCTGCACGGATGCAATGCCCAATTGTATTAAGTTCAATCCCTTGTTGATTAAGTTCAGCCAGGAGCCCATGCAGACCGAGGAGCAGAAAGAAGCAAAGACCAAGGACGACGAGAGTCGTAGGACCGCCTGTCGTTAGAAGTTACCCAACACTTGACAAGTGAAACCTGAGTGCTGCAAATACCAACCTTCCCCTATTCAACCTAGTACCTCGCTATTATTTAAATATCAGATAAGTCTAGCTTATTATGCCATTATAGCTCCTAAAGCGCCGTTAATAACAACCCGAAGGCCCTGTGCAGGCCCTAAGCCTAATGAGCCCACTACCCTACGCCCTACGCCATCGGCCTCGCTGAGTTAAAGTCAGGAGCCCCAGAAGCCAGTTACATTCTTTGAACACTTGCAGAAGATATGGCTTTATCGTTTGAAGAAAAACAACATGACAAAATGGCTCCGAGAACTGAGTCCAATTTTGATTTGTTGTTTTAGGGCTTTTCCTTTACACTGCCTTTTTATGAACCCTCATTCATACATGCTGTAAACAAGTTGAAGAACACATTCGTCCGTTGCAGCTTGACCTCTCGAAGGGGCAGGAAGCCCTTGAATCGGGCGAGAGTTTTATTTGAAATAAGGGGGGCGGGCCGGATGCTTGTGCCTCAGTCTCTCGCTGGGAGGTCTTGATGAAGTGAATCTTTTGCTTGAGTGTGTCTCGAGCTTTGAGCCTACAGTATCCTGCTCAACTTGCAGAGTGATCTCGCGGTTGCCTACTTAGCTGGAGCTTTGTTGGTTCTTCCGTGTGCGATTTTAGCACTGGCCTGTGGTTCAGGAGCATGCAATCCCCTGAAGTGACCGGTGAAGAAGCAGAGGCGCCGACGCCCTCGGATTCGTTTACATCCACTGAGAGCTTTGTGTTACGTCACATGCGTGGATTACAGATTCAGATCTGTCGGCTGCATAGAATGCAGCTCATGCTTGCTGACCGCCTTTTCGATCGCGTGTCGCGGTTGGAGTCTCAGCAGATGCTTGTTTCTTGCTTTCTTCATTGGAAGTTTTGGGCTGGCCGCAATTCTGATCCGGAGCACGCTCCTCGAGGATTGCTGGAACCTCAGCTCCCGTCGTGAGACTTTGTGTCGCCTGCCTCTTGCTCAGAGGAAGAGAAAGGCGGGCGAGGCAAACTTGCCCTGGGATACGCCTCCGAGATATATCTTCAGGATGCAGGTGGTCGTTACTGACCGCCTCACCAGCTATAAGCCCATCACGCTCGATCTTCAGTTGAGTTGCAAAGATATTATCGATCAGGCGAAGTACTTCGTATCACAACGTCTTTTCGAGCTTGTTGGTAGCTTCCCTAAGTTGAGCTCTTTTCAATTGGTCCAGGATGGCAGGCACCTGAGTTTTTCAGCTCCAGTGCTAGTGGCCAGCACATTGTCACCTGTGAGCTTCGTTCGCACCGCATAAAAGCTTGAGTTGAGTGTAGGTTTCTGCTGCAGGAACTTACTGATTCCACGTGGTGCTGAGTTGAGGATTGCTTTCTACATCGTGTTGTCGTGCACTCGTGTAGCCGTCTGCTTCTCAGACTGATTTGCAATGTCGGTCGTCACAGGGCCGGCTGATGAGGACGACAGGTCTTGGTCTTCGTGGAGCTCGGCTTTTGAGCCGTTGAGTCCGGAACCTCCTCCTAAATCTGGGAAGAAGGTTAAGAAGAAGAAGACGAAGAAGAAAAAGAAGTCTTCCCGTAGGCATAGCAAGGCGAGACAGCAGAGCCCTGCATCGGGCTCGGATAGCTCTGCCATCGAGGCCAAGGCTGATGTTTCGCGAGAGTTGGATTCGCGGAAGCCGACGATCTCCGGAGCTTCTTCATCTGGGGAGCTCGCTCCGTCTTTTTCTGCTGCTGCTACGTCTGCTGAGGTCTCCCACGACATTGACTTGCAATCTGCAGGCACATACACGGTGGAGGCTCACACGGCGGCGGTTATGCACCATGCCAGGACCAGTCGTGGCAACCCTAGGGCAGCAGCTAAAATGTTGGTGAGAGCCCAGCTTAGATGCAGCTGTCATTTTGCGTATCTTCATGAATGTGCTGCTCGGGCGGATCGGAGACCGCCGAGTTGAGGAGTGATTTTTCGATCTTTGCCGGCCTTGCTGCCGGTATCCGTGTACTTTTCATCCTTAGGATTATGTGATCGGAGCATTCTCTTCCAGTGCTGTGGAGCCAGAAAGGGCTGTGTTGATGGAGCGAGGTGTTAGGTGGAGTGATTTTGTCCTTCTTTGCTGCGGTGCTTAGGTCTCCACGGCTGAGCGTTGGGACAGAGCCTCGGTCTTGGAAAGAAAACTGGCGCAAGAGCGCATGTTTGGTGAGTGTGTGCGCCAGAGGTTGCGTACTAACGATCACTCGAAGCATTCGTTGCATGAGCTATTCGGTTGCCGTTTGACATCGGCCCAAAAAAAAAAAGAGATCAGAGAAGCAAGCAAGGCAGGAGCCTGGTGCTGGGTGTTTGACAAGGCGCCGAAGCGCTTGACAGAGTCTCGGAGGGCTGGCGCCCGGTTTCAGCTACGTGCTGAGTGTGTGACGCAGGGATGTTTCCTTGGCAAATGGGACCGATGGGGCCGATGATGCCCTCTTTCGGCGGTGAGAGGCGTCGGCGCCGTCGGCGCTCTCCATCGAGTAGTTCTGAGCGCTCGAGGAGCAGAAACCGTGATCGCAGACGCGACCGGGAATCAAGATCGAGGGGAGCGCAAGCTGTTGCGCCTTTTCCCCCGCCGGTGCCTCAGCTGCCGGCTGCAGCGCCGGGATATGAATGGAGGCAAGTACCAGTGATGCCCGTGCAGCCACCTTTGCCGCCTCCCTCGACACCTGCCCCTATTGCCCCTGCTGTGCATGTGCCTCAGCAGCAGTCTACGTGGAATCGCCAGCCCTGGCGCGGAGGGGGCCAGCAGAAGCAGCAGGGCCAATGGGGCCAGCGCTGGAATAAGTGGCATCGGTCCAGTCAGGGGTCGAATGAGCCTCGAGGGTCGGGCCACCAGTCCTCTTGGACGGACCCAGACCATCACAACATTCAGGAGGCCACTCCTTCTGAAGTGGCTGCGGCCGACGCCCGTAAGTCCGCCAAAGAGGCTGATAAGGATGAGGCAGACGACGAAGAGTCGTACCTCGCAGCCCTGTGGAAGTCGGCGCAAGATGAAGCGCGTGCAGACCCCACTCGCCCATTGTCAGCCCGGGAACTGGCAGAGCAGGGAAAACTGCAGTGGTGGTGGAAGATGCCTTGGAAGACCATCGCCGAGAAGTTTCCTGACACGCATGGCTACAAGGAGTTTTTGGAAGGACTTGAAGGTCCGATCCCGACCTCTGTGATTTCCCGCGTGGTCACGGTCCTTGCTGCCTTTCGGTCTTATGGCCGCCCCCTTGAGGGGGACAATCCAGTGGCGGGCGTCGTCGGACCCGATGCTCATATTTTTCGAGTGCCTGGGCAACGGATTTTGATCCTATCCTGCGAACTGCGCGGGCCAAGCTATATCCGCAATCCGAACTCGGCCCATTCGGCTATCATGGCTCATGGTACCTCTTTCCCCTCTTTAGTCGGCGTGGCAGAGATAGGGGAGATCGCGGTGAACGATTTCCGCGATCAGGGAACTCCCTGCTTCGGCTTTTCGGCACGAGGTTCATTGGTCACCTTGTCGCGTGATGCACTGGAAAGTGCAGCGACAAAATGCGCGAGTCGGGCTAAAGCCCTGGGCGGGGCGATTGTTCTCGTAGAGTGCGAGTTGCCACGGAGCACCCCCGCTGTGGAGGGGGGAATGACATGATGCAGATCTGTTGCCGGGACGCTGGATCGGTCAGGTCGGGGGATCACTTTTTGATCTCCCCAAAACACGCGATTATGAGAGGAATCGCAGTAGGGTGGCCGTGCTAAGCGGCTTTTTCCCTGCAGTTGTGAGCATTGTTGTTATTGTCAGCTACTACTGATGTTGTGCTGAGTCATATCTTGGCGATTTATAGCTTGCTAGTCTGGTTTTTGCTGGCATTGCTCACACCAGAGGTGGTGGATACTCTTCCTATGAACCACGAGGAAGTGGCAGACCGTCGGGATTCGCGACGTGAAAAGTTGTGCCATTTGCCCCGCATCAGGCGGGCTAGACCTGAGTGGTCTTCGCTACGCTTCGTGTGTGCTGCGAGGGGAGATTACCAGCAGAAGTATTGTCTTTGTTGGCAACTTGTTGTTCACGTACTGTCGGTTCAAGTTTTGACCAATGTGGTGGGGCGTAGTTCCTGCCAGGGTTTCTTGTGATGTCTGGCCACGACCCCAGAGCGAGTGAGAATGAAGTGTTCATGCGAAGCATCACTCATGCTCGGTCGTCGCTGCCTCGGCAGCCTTGGGAACAGCCGGCTATGCTGTGCATCTTCGATCCATTGAAGGCGGCTTTCCCTCAGGGCTTGAACTTACCTTATCAGGGAGTGGTCCCGGCTTCGTCTGTTCCTCAGCCGGCAACACAACTTTCAGATTCCGGGAATCCGGTGACGTGTCAGGCCTGGACTCGTGCAGTCAAGGCAAAAAGAGGGCCTAGGGCCGCGGATCGTCGTGATGAGGCGTACCGCCGGGTCCTCACATTACTTCATGCCTTTTCGAGTTTCTTCGACCTGTGTACTTTGATGGCAGATGACGAGGAGGACGGCCCGGATTCTGTCCAGGCCGTTTTGGCAGGGAAATCACCGAACACCATCTTGAAACATTTGGGTCCGGTTCGGACTTTTTGCGAGTGGCCTTTGAAAGCAAGTCAGACTCCGCCTTTTGCGGAAAAAGTTTTGTGGTCTTTCATTCATTGTGTCCTCAAGATGCCTAAGACCGCGGCCACCACACTGGACAGTAGTCTGCGTGCTATCAAGTGGAGTTATTATACCTTGGGACTACGTGTTCAACTAGAGGTCTTCAGCAGCCCTCGAATTCATGGTGTGGTGAAGAAGGCGTTACAAACTAAAAACCCGTGGTGCCCGGCGTCACCCCTCAAGGTGTCCGAAGTTCTCCAACTGCATGTGATCTGTTGTGATCCCTCTATTTCTGTCATTGATAGATGCGGGGCGGCGCATTTCCTTGCCATGCTCTATGCGAGGGCACGGGCATCGGACATCCGATGTGTCAAACGTATTTTGATAGATGTGCACAACGAGGACTGGAGTTCCGGTTTCATTGAGTTAGGGACGCTGGAGCACAAGACGTCTAGGCTGGACACTCAGCGACGTCGTATATTGCCTCTGGTGATTCCTGGCCAGGGTATTGCCAAAACCCCTTTTGGTCAGCTCCTCCTGGACATTAGGGCTGAGGCCGGTTTGCCGAATGATCAGGCGGATGTTCCATTTTTGCCGGCGCCTCTGCCGGATGGATCGTGGTCCTCCGACCCGCTGTCTAGTAGCGAAATCACCAGGTGGCTGAGGTATTTACTGCCACGTCCATCGACGGAACAGGCCGTGAGTTCGCACTCGTTGAAGGTTACCTCACTTGTTTGGTGTAGCAAATTTGGGATGCTTCGCGAAACTAAGCGAGTTCTAGGCCATCACTCGGATGCTGCGACTGGCAGCGATGCAGTTTATGGACGTGAGTTGCAGAGTGCGGCACTGCGTGAGTATGTTGTCGTGCTGGATGCAGTCGCGACGGGTAAATTCTTGCCAGACCAGACTCGTTCGGGTCATTTCGCGTCAGGTTGGACTCGGGAATCTATCCTGCAGGCAGCTGCTTTTCCACAGGACTCGGAAGTCCTGGAGGATGATCAAGATGAGGCTTTGGCTGTGGTTTCTGATGTTTCAGACTCTGATGAAGAAGCCCCGGAGGAACAATCCTTCTGGGCTCATCCGACTAGCCAGGTTCTACATCGCACGACTTTGGGGTCGGCAATGTTTTTGTGTGGCAGAGCTTTTGGCGATCATTATCGGCGCATTCCTATGGCTAGGGCACAAGCGCACCCGCAATGTTCCAAGTGTTTTCCACGGAGCGCAGTTTGATTTCTTGGCCTGCTCGAAAAGCAAACAGTTGCTCTATTCTAGTGCTCGGTGTGCATTGTGAGAGCTGCGTCTTCGATAGCTTTTTCGGTTGCCAGGTATTTAGCCATGACGAGTTCCGTAGATTCGGCGCCTTTCTTTGTGCAGCGAGCAGATGAAATCTCGCTCGCCAAGCGAGTAGTGGATGCCTTGAAAGGTAAAGGGGTGTCTACTTTGGCCCAGCTGGCCTTCTGTGTCGGACAACCGGGACAGGTGTTATCTCAGACTGAGTTTGACACGTGGAGCGAGGCCTTGTTGGTAGGCATCACAGTGGGCGAGAAGGCGTCTTTAAGGCGCCTGATCTTGGAAGCTCAGACCATGCTGGTGGCTTCTTTGAAGGATTTGGCAGAACCGGCTGAACACGCCTCCCCTAAAAAGGTGGGGGTAGCCGAGCGGAATGCTCGCATGGATCAGCTCCGGACTCAGCTCGCCGGAGTTTCACTTACTGGACAACTTGAGCCGAGTCATGCATTACTTGACATGGCCGTTCAGCAGTGGGAGAGTCGGTGCCTGAAGTACATCGGTCCAGAGAAATGTCATAGCCGTGAGGATGAGGTTCAGAACGTCAAGCCTTTGACCACCAGTCTGTCCTTGGAAGGCGGTAAGTTGAAGGTTACGGAGGCTGCTGGTATGGATGATCGCGATATTGAGGGCTCTTTGCAAGTCCTTAATGCCTTGCGCCGCAGAGGAGTGGCTTATGCATTTGCTCGCTTGATCAGTTGGGAAAGACATGAAGCTTATGTTTCGTCTTTGTTCAGGTATTTGACCAAGCCTGCTCAGCCTGGTTACAGGAAGGTGTCTCTTCGTCAGATCTTGCGGGCTGATAAGCTTGCCTTTTCCAAGTTGTCCGAGGCAGGTGAGGACATCCGAGCAGATGCTTCTGGCATTCTTCCGCTCGATTCCGCGATCGGGGCTATTCTTCACGATTACGACTTAATTGTTGCTCTTTTGCCTATGGGGGATTTGGATGGTAAGGGCAAGAATGCTAATGGCCGTGGCGGGCGCCCGGGTCCTTACGGTGATGCTGCGCCCTGGAAGGGGAAGAATGGCAAAGGTAAGGGCGGTTGGAACTCCAAAGGCTCTGATTATTGGACAGGGAAAGGCAAGAACACCTGGCAAGCTAAGGGCAAGTCGCCTAAGGGCAAAGGCTCGGGGGCCGGTAAGCCGGAATGGTTGCCTGAGGGACTTCGCTTCCAGGGAGCCTCTGCATGGAATCATAAAGGCAACAAGGTCTGTTACGGCTTCAACCTTGGCACTTGTTCGGATGCAAACTGCCAGAAGGGCGATCATACTTGCTGCATCTTCAAATGCGGCGGTGACCACCCGGTGGGTAAGTGTCCTTTGAAGCCTAAGAAGCTGTGACTAGCGGATCCCCCGCCTTGCCCTGTCGCTTTGGCGTTGGACGTGGAGATGGCATCTTCGGAAGAACCCGTTTCAGGTGGTATCTCTGTAGCTGATGTCGCGACCCCGGCTTCGCTACCTTCTGGAGTAGGAGTGGACCCTGCTTCTAAGATGGTGGATGTCGACGATTCTCCGATTTTGGTAGAACCTACAGTTTTGGATCCTCCTACGATGCCGAGTGCTTCGTATGAGTCGTTGTCGTTGGAGCACGCAGGGAGCGAGGGGGCGCTCCCCTCACCTCTCGTGGCATCGCAGGACAATTCTTCAGCCCCTCAGAGCCAGGAGCCAATCAGGGCCATTCTGCAGTGTTTTGCAGGCCAAGCTCGTGTGGCTTCAGCTTTGATTAAGCAGGGCTATTTTTCCTATGGAGTGGACCGCTTCAAGCAGAAGGCGGCTATGGCCCCAGTGCTTCAGATGGACTTGTCGACGAGGGAGACTTGTGACTCTATCCTAACATGGCTTGACAAAGGCAAGATTGCGGGTGTTATGATATGTATTCCTAAACATGCCTTGGAACCTGTCACTACAGCTTTCATTCTGGCAGTGATGGCGGGCTGCTTAAGCAACAACCTGCCCCTGATTCTTGAGGGTTCGGTGTCCTCACCATTTTGGGAGAGCTTGCAGCGCTTACCGTCAGCACAGCACCCTCCACACCAGGTGGAGGTGGATTGGCGATTTTGGGACTCCCACAGCAAACAGCGCAGCCTCGTGTTGTCTAATATGCCAGAAGTCCTCACTGTGCGCAGGGAGGCGGCACCTGTGGGAGATAAGGTGCAACAGCGCTCGGAGGCGCCGACCGGCTATCCGCCGGCTTTTGCCACGGCGGTAGCTGAGGTGTTCATTGCAGGTTTGACTCAGCGACAGCTGCCGTGTCGCAGCCCGGCCTTGACTAACAAATCGCTGCGGGTTTCGGCTATGAATCAGCCACGTGGGGCGATGCCGGAAGTGGTGTCTGAGTGGAAGTTGGTGGTTTATGTCCTTCTGCCACCGCAGGTCGAGGATCCGTTTGGTGGGTCGAAGCGCCTTAAACAGGACTGGAAGGTTCCGCACGGCGCCCGTGTGCTGCCGGAGCTTAGGGCGCTCCCACAGGATTCCCAGCTTCTGTCGCGTACTCAGTCAGGGGGGCAATTGAGCCCGCAACTTCAGCAGGAAATGCAAAACTTGAATGGAGCCTTAGTTTTGCGAGTGGGCATCCCATGGGATCCTATTGAATTTATCGCCAAGGCAGGTAAGACTGGACACCCATACCATAAGCTATCTAAGTGCAACAAGGATCTCAGAGACCTTGTCCACGACCTAGTTCATAAACCGGGAATGGTTCGTTCTCAGAGGAAGAACTACATCGAGAAGTGGGCCAGACGAGCCAAAGAATTGGAACCAGAGGAAACCAAGCTGAAGGCTGGCATGTCGGATCACAGAAGGAAGATCCTTCAACCCAAACGTATCTTGTTGTTCGAAGAGATGCTGCGAGATATTGGGTATGATGATATGGGTGTGGTTCAGGAACTCATCGACGGAGCCACCCTGACGGGGGACATTCCTATCACTGGGGTGTTGGATACCAAGCTCAAGCCTGCTAGGTTGGACACTGAACATCTTTTGGGGATGTCTGATGAAATCAAACAGCAGATCCGAGCGAAGACTGGTTCATCGGGTGATAAGGAAATCGATCAGCTGTTGTGGGATAAGACGATGGAAGAGGTACAGAGTGGATACCTCTCGGGACCTTATGATTTCGAGTCATTGCCGAAACGGTGTTTGGTCAGCTCCCGCTTTCCGTTGCTACAAGGAGATAAGCTGCGACCCATTGACAACTACTCATCGAGTTTGATCAACGATACGGTCACAGTCTCTGAGAAGCCCGTCACGCACTCTATCGACGAAATCGCTTTGTTGATAAATACACTTTCGAGTGCTGCTCGAAAGAAGAACTTGAATGCACTGTACGGGAAAACAGCGGATCTGAAGGGAGCTTACAGACAACTGGCGGTGTCTGACACGAGCTTAGACTTTTCTTACCTCGCGGTCTACGACCCGGCGGAGGAGAAGCCCAAGTTGTTCCAACAACTAGCTGTGCCTTTCGGCTCTACCAAGGCCGTGTACTTTTTCCTCAGAGTAGCAAGAGCTCTTTGGACTATCTTGGTCAAAGGGGCCAAAATCCCAACCACGAATTATTTCGACGATTTTGTTCTGCTCGCTCTTGGAGGAGATAGGAGTTCGTGTTCACACGCTTTCGATGAAGTTATGAAGCTGCTAGGTTGGAAGCTGTCAGCGGATAAAACAACGGAGTGGAACACAAGCTTCGAGGCCCTCGGCGTTCTTTTCGAGCTTGACCAGACGGGGTCCGGAGTGCTGAAGGTCAAGAACACTGAGAAACGACGCAAGGAACTCACGGCTGCGATCAAAGGTTTTCTGGAAAAGGGAACCATGACTCAGAAGGAAGCTCTACAACTGCGGGGTAGGCTGCAGTTTGCTCAAGCCCAGTTTTTCGGTAGGCTGGGAAGAAGGTGCCTTACGGAGGTGACAAAGCATGCCTACACGGGCAGGTCAAAGCTTTCGTCGATGGCCAAGGAACGACTTGAAGAGTTTGGTAAGTTCCTTGACATGGCCCAACCGAGGCTAGTGGGACAAGTTTCATGCAGGACTTTTATGATCCTTACCGATGCGGCGTTTGAAACGGAGTCAGGAACTGGAGGACTCGGGGGCGTCCTTCTTACCGGGTCAGGTTCGGCACTCTCTTTCTTCAGCGTGCCGATCTCAGAGCAGCAAGCTAAGTCTATGTCGTGGCAGGATGAGCATACCATCATATATGAACTAGAGATGTTCGGGGTCTTGATCGGTCTCAAGCTCTTGGTCGAAAAGACGGCTGCTTTCGCAGAATCATACGAACAGCCGGGTGCTGTTGCTGGGACTGGAGTGATTTGTTATATCGATAATGATGCTGCGAGACATGCATACATCGCCGGCTCTTCGAAGAAAGGGGTCGCGGGGATTCTTATCGATGAAGTCATTTCCTGGAGTATGTCCACGGCATCTTGCCGTGGTATGCGAGAGTGGCATCACCTGCTAATCTGGCAGATGAACCATCGAGGATGAAACTTGATAGAGTCAAGAGACTAGGATTCAAAGACGAGTCTGTCGAGGCGACCAAAGCGGTGTTATCGATTGTGAAGAGAGTTTCGAATCTGCCTGCTTAACACTGCGACTCCTGGAAGTGGGGACAGAAAGAGTCTTGTGTCTCACAGGACCGACAGTTCGAAGTTTTCTGCCGTGTGCGGTACTTGCTACCCCAACGTGTGAAAATAGCGTCGAGCTTTGAACTACTTGCATGTGGCATGTGCGAGTGCAAGCATTTATCCCTGAAGGTTCAAACATGATAGACATCAAAACACAAAGCACGATCTTCGAACGATAAGTTACATTCTTTGAACACTTGCAGAAGATATGGCTTTATCGTTCGAAGAAAAACAACATGACAAAATGGCTCAGAGAACTGAGTCCAATTTTGATTTGTTGTTTTAGGGCTTTTCCTTTACACTGCCTTTTTATGAACCCTCATTCATACATGCTGTAAACAAGTTGAAGAACACATTCGTCCGTTGCAGCTTGACCTCTCGAAGGGGCAGGAAGCCCTTGAATCGGGCGAGAGTTTTATTTGAAATACCCACCCTCTCCACCCTAATTGATTCGTGGAAAGTGCAGAGATTGCATCAGTGTTGTGCTACCTCAGGAAGCTTTGGACCTCAGTTTGAGGACACTCAGGTATGCTTTATGCATAAGACCTGGTTCGGGTCTTGGCTCTCTGCTTCGCAGTTACTCGGTCTTGCTCGTCTTCGACTGGCAGGCCGTTCACTAAGGTTCAGTTTGTGAGCCGTGCACGGCTTGAGAGTGGCTAGTTCTCCTTTCGGAGGGGACAAAAAGAGTCTTGTGTCTCACAGGACCGACAGTTCGAAGTTTTCTGCCGTGTTCGGTACTTGCTACCCCAACGTGTGAAAATAGCGTCGAGCTTTGAACTACTTGCATGTGGCATGTGCGAGTGCAAGCATTTATCCCTGAAGGTTCAAACATGATAGACATCAAAACACAAAGCACGATCTTCGAACGATAAAAGTTGAAGAAAAAAGAAGCAAACGACTCGGGTTCGAAGCAGGCTTGCCGGCTGACTGTCATGAGATGTCATACTTGATAACAGAATAACAACTCAATCAACCTTACACCCTACACCCTCGCTTAAAAGCCAAAGGAGCTGAAGAAGAAGAAGAAAGGAGCAGTCGCTTCGGATTCGGGTTCGAAGCAGGCTTGCCGGCTGACTGTACTCATGGCATTGCTTGACGTCAGTTTAACTTTAATTGAAACCCTACTACGCCCTACACCCTCGCTAAATTATTTAATTCAGGAGCCCAAGAAGCCAAAAGAAGTGAAGAAGGAAGGAGAAATCGCTTCGGGTTCGAAGCAGGCTGGCCGGCTGACAGTCACTCACATAGTAAACCTTTGAACTTTCCAATCGAGGAGTCGAGGGAAGAATCAGAAGCTGCCGAGGAGTCGGAAGCGGAGGCCACTAGTCTCGCATGCGTGAATCTAATGTCTCATTATTGTATTTTATAATGATGCCCTCACGCTACATGTTTTACCACTCTTCGAAAACTTTAACCCCCGAAGCCAGGAGCATGATGTGCCGCCGAAGCAAGAGCTGCCAAAGAGAAAGCCCAAGGCCAAAGCAAAATCCAAGACATCACCGCGTCCGCCAGCGCAGGATTCGGATTGAAGCCATGATGATGCTACATGAATTGACACTCTTCGAAAAACTCCAACCCCCGAAGCCAGGAGCATGTCAATGTGCCGCCGAAGGAAGGGCAGCCAAAGAAGAAGTCCCAGGTTAAGGCCAAAGCAAAAGCCAAGTGCAGAATTCTAGCCCAGGTTGGCGGAGTGCTGTATCCGAAAGACCGGACGGAAGAGATTGC